TTGCATTTGAATTTTCAACTTTGTAATCAGGTTTTTCAGATTTTTTTGAGTATTTTATAGCCGCCCCATAAATTGTAGTGCAATAAAGTGCAAGTTTTAATTTGTTAAAAGACCGCGGTGATTTTTGATACTTTTTTTCTGACTATATCTACGCATTTTCTTCCCTACAAAAAAAAAAAATGTCGGAATATACATATTATATAAGGAAGAAAATAAAGTTGATAATAAAGTTGAGTTGAGTTAATAAAGTTGAAAATTTACATGCAACTTTGCAGGTTTTTTATAATTTTTGCACAAGTGTGAAATGCGGTCTTATATGGTTTTAGTTTTATAATGAGCTAGACTTTTACGGCAAAATAATAAATATTAAATATAAAAAAATGCCAAAATTGATCAAAGCGTTGCCCACGCTAGCTGATCATAAGTGTATGTTGAGTACAACAAAAGCAAATTAAAAGTTCAATTAAAAAAAATAGACACGAATGATTTATTCGTTTATTGTTTAATTTGTGGTTTAAATTATTAATTTTCAGGCATCATCGAGAAACTGTATCTTGCTCCAGTACCCAAAATATTAGAGCCAGATTCCAAAGTACGCTGTCGTGTGTTAAGCATTAGCACAGATCGTAGAACAGTCTATCTAACGAATCGTCAAGAATACTTGACTAAACATTGCAAAGTGCTTACCTCGCTTGAAAAGGCACATCCAAATTCCACTTACATTGGCACCATAGTTCAATGTAACAAGGAATATATATTGGTCAGGTTCTTCAATAATCTTAAAGGAATGCTGTATAAGCAACGTCTGAGCAGCATACTAGGTAGCGAGATGTATACATTTTATGAGGGTCAAACAATGGCATTTCGCATACTAACTAAAAACGGGCAACAAATCACGCTAACGTTAGCCGACGATACTTTCAGTCTAGGTGAAATATGTCCAGCTACGGTGGTGCATACATTAGATTCCGGGCTGGAAATAAAAATTTGCTACCACCCCGAAGGGGTCTATGACGACCTGGATGAGGATCCCGAAGCAAATGCAATCGAGGTTAAAGGACTAGTACCGCTGCGTTTGCTCTCGGACTATCCGGATTTATTGTATGGCAAATTACGCACCTATACACCCGATACACAAGCACAAGCCGTGTGCATTGTAAAGAACATATTCAGTTTGCGCGATGTGCCCTATTTCCTAACACATTTAACTAACAACTGGCAAAATATAAAGCCAGGGGACATTTTAAAGGCACATGTCAAGAATGTACATGAGGATGTTGTGGATCTGTTGGTTCCGAAACGAAACTATGGCAAGTTGGTGAAAGTGCATATAAAGATGCTCTTGGTAAAAGCATTCAAAAGTGCGAACATTCAACTAACGCCCGAGCAGGTGGTCTATGTGAAAGTGCTTGGCAAAGAACCAACAACACGGACAATTACAGTGACTGCCAAATTAACAGATGTATGGGATGGTGAACTAAGTAGCACCGCGCGAGATCTTGAAGAGTAAGTATGCATACTTTAACGTAGGTCTTCATTGAAATGGCATTAACATTAATCACATTTTTAGTTACCTGAATGAAGTATCAGATATTCGAAAAGCTCACAAGCGGTTGGGCTACGGTGTAGGCCAACACAAAGTTGGCGATAAAGTCGTCGCATATTTCCGTGGCGTAAATGCTGACACAAAAGATTGGCAATACGAGATAGAAAAAACTAAAGTGGCAGCTGTGGTCAAATCTTCGTTAGTCGGAAAATCAAAGCCACCCAAAGTGGATGCAAGCCAAGAATGTCTTATACTTTGGGTAGACTACTCAAATGAATTGGTCTACATCAGCAACAAGCAAGGCGATGTTTCACACGTCAGCAGTGATAAGAATTTACCAAGTAATTTGGTAGGCAAAACTGGCATTAATGCCAAAATATTGCTAAAGGCAGATCAAGTCTTTGTTTGCTCACTGAAGAAAGGTCCCAATCCATTAGTCTATTGCCCGGTCCGATTGCATTTTAATGACTTTGAAAATTCGGCTAGCGCTGGTATTACTGAAGGTGATTTTTGCAAGCTTGCCTTCATACACGAGGAGCTACCCATCGCCGTGCCGGAGAGCACCTGGAAGCTGTGGCATGACATGAAAAAGAAACGCAAAGCCAAAATGGAGCTTAATAATGCACCTAAGCCGAAAAAAATAAAAATAGAAAAAGCTGTTCAAAAAGAACCACCAGTTGTCATTGCGTCCACGTCTGCCGTTATTGGAAAGCAATCAGAAAGTGCGCAAAAGGTAATGAAAAAGCAAACTAAAAAGTTAGCTGCCGAAGAAACTAGCCCCCCAGCTGCAAAGAAGAAAAAACAAGTGGCCAAAGAATCCAAAACAAATGATTTACTATTCTACGAGGACAAAACACCTAATGATATTGTTATAATTGAAAACAATCGCGCTTCAGATACGGACGAAAAGCCGCCGAAGATCGCATTTAAACCCAAATCTGCACCACAATTACTACCTGGTATTGGCGATTTCTGGAACACAGACCTCTCTCAATTGCTCGATAAAGCTGCGGTCTCCAGCGACGACGACGACGATGAAGATGGATCAGATACCACCGAAGAAGCCGGTCAAAAGAAGAAAAAATTGACTGCGGCAGAGAAGTTCAAGTTACAACGCGAAGAGGAGACGCGCTTACGTGAAATCGAAGCCAAATATGCTGATCCACATCATCTACCAGAGAGTGTCGATCAATTCGATCGCTTGGTACTGTCCGAGCCCAGCAACAGCAAACACTGGATCAACTATATGGTTTTCCACCTACAATCGGCAGAGATCGATAAGGCGCGCGGAGTCGCACGTCGCGCCATCAAAGCCATATCCTATCGTGAAAATAATGAGCAACTTAACATATGGGTAGCGTTATTGAATTTGGAGCTGCGCTACGGTAGTAAAGAAGCCTTTGATGAAGTGCTTAAAGAGGCGCTTAACTACAATGATCCGCTTAAAATTTACCTGCGCGTGATAGAGATATTCTGCGACGCTAAGAAAACCCAAGAACTCATCGAGATGATCGGCTTAATTACAAAGAAATTCAAAGCACAGCCGGAGGTGTGGCGTGCAGCAGCGAATGCTTATTTCAGCATAGAGATGCCTGATCGTGCACAGCAACTGTTGCACAAGGCTTTGGCGTCACTGCCTGAAAGAGAACGTAGGTAGAGGGTGGGGCAATTGTAATTTGCAATGGGTTTATCGTATTTTCATTTAAGTTTAATGCACACACGAAAACGATTTCATGTTACTATTATATAATAATTAACACTTTTGTTTAGATGTCAACACCATTGTTGCTTTTGGC